GGACACCGCATTGACGTCCGCGCGGGATGTGCGCCGCGTCCAATTCCCGCCACGCATTTCGCATCGTCGACGACAAGACTGGCCATGGTGAAAGGAACAACGGACACGTTCCGCCCACCCAAAACATAAGGAACAATGCTGGCGCAACTGGGTGCTGGCGCGTAGCGGTGGTGGTGGTGGTGGTGGTGGTGGTTGTGGTGGTGGTGTGGTGGTGGTGGTGGGTGGTGGTGGTGGTGGTGGTGGTGGTGGTGGTAGTAGGTAGTAGTAGTAGTAGTAGTAAGTAGTAGTAGTAGTAAGTAGCAGCAGTAGTAGTAGTAGTAGTAGTAGTAGTGTAGTAGTAGTAGTAGTAGTAAGTAGTTGTAGTAGGAGAGGAGTAGGAGTAGGAGCAGGAGTAGGAGTAGGAGTAGAGTAGTAGCAGGAGTCGGGTCGAGTCGGAGTAGGAGTGTAGTGGTAGTAGGTTAGTAGTAGTAGTAGTAGTAGTAGTAGTAGTAGTAGTAGCAGTAGTAGTAGTAGTAGTAGTAGTAGTAGTAGTTAGTAGTAGTAGTAGTAGGAGTAGTCGTCGTAGTAGTAGTAGTAGTAGTAGTTAGTAGTAGTCGCGTAGTAAGTATGGTAGTAGTTGTAGTAGTAGTAGTAGTATCAGTAGTAGTGTAGTAGTGCATTAGCAGCAGTAGCAGTAGCAGTAGTACAGGTAGCAGTACATAGTAGTAGTAGTAGTAGTAGTAGTAGTAGTAGTAGTAGTAGTAGAGCAGTAGCAGTAACAGTAGCGTAGCAGTAGCAGCACAGCAGTAGTAGTAGTAGTAGTAGTAGTAGTAGTAGTAGTAGTAGTAGTAGTAGTAGTAGTAGTAGTAGTAGTAGTAGTAGTAGTAGTAGTAGTAGTAGTAGTAGTAGTAGTAGTAGTAGTAGTAGTAGTAGCAGTAGCAGTAGTAGTAGTAGTAGTAGCAGTAGTAGCAGTAGTAGTAGTAGTAGTAGTAGTAGTAGTAGTAGTAGTAGTAGCAGCAGCAGTAGTAGTAGTAGTAGTAGTAGTAGTAGTAGTAGTAGTAGTAGTAGTAGTAGCCCTGAGTCGCCGAAAGATCGTTCCAAGACGCCCAAGATGGCCTCCAGACGGCCGTAGCGCCAAGAAACCGCGGGGAGCCTCAGGAGGCCCTCCAAGAGCCTGAACAAGCAAAAACCTCCCAGGCATTCGTCACCCCAGGGCCTCCTGGAACGCCCCGGCGCCCAATGAATTGGCGAGCTAAAAACGTGCGCCGAGCCAAAGCGGGAGCGCAACTTTGAGAAAATTTCGCTCGGCGCCCAAGCGAGAAGGTCATTTCATTCACTTCGAGCGGGGGGGGAGGGGGGTGTGCCGCGCCCAATTCTTGCCATGCACTTTTGCGGGGTGGACGACAAGAACAGTGGGCAGGGAAAATCAGCATGGCATTGTTTCTGACAAGTAAGGTGGCCCCTCCCGCCTTGGGGTTGCCCCAGAAGTCCGCGCGCGATGTGCGCCGCGCCCCATTCCTGCCACGCGTTTCGCATCGTCGACGACAAGACAGGCCATGATGAAAGGAAAAAGGGCAACTCTGTATTGTTTTTTTACAGTCAGGATGGGAGGGCCCGCGGCCCGCATGGACGTCCGCGCGCGGTGTGCGCCGCGTCCCACTCCTGCAATATATTTCGCACCGTCGGCGACAAGGCAGGCCATGCTGAGAGGAAAAATCGGAGACTTCGTATTGATTTTTTAAAAGGTCAGGATGGGCGGGCCGGGATTGACGGCCGCGCGCGATGTGCGCCGCGTCCCATATGTGCGCCGCGTCCCATTTGTGCCACATATTTCGCACCGTCGGCGACAAGGCAGGCCATGCTGAGAGGAATAAACGAAGACTTTGTATTGGTTTTCTACAGTCAGGATGGGCGGGCCCAGATTGACTGCCGCGCGCGATGTGCGCCGCGTCCCATTCGTGCCACGTTTTTCGCATCGTCGACGACAAGAAAGACGATGCTGAGAAGAAAACGGCCACTTTGTATTGATTTTTTAAAGTCCGGATGGGAGCTCCCCGATTGGGTTGCGATCGGCCGGAATACGAGGTAGGTGGGGGTATATAATAATAAAGAACAATGATAAACCCCTCCCCAAAGGAAAAGAATGGGGTTGGCAGAGGAAGCGCTCTAGACCACCTACGCCCTAAAGGGCTGGTGGGATTCGAGGATGGGGCTGTCAGGGTGCCCACTGTCGTGGCACCCGCGAGCGCACGGGGGCCTGCCGAGCCCGGCCACGACCACCTGCCCGTGCGCCCTCCGACGCCCTATCTCCTCACAGGGGGCCTCGGCTGCCCCGCCCCCCCGCGCCGCCCGCTCCGGCCCTCTTCCTCTTTCTCCTCCTCCTCCTCCTCCTCCTCCTCCTCCTCCTCCTCCTCTCCCTCCTCCTCCTCCTCTCCCTCCTGAGATTGTTTTTTTATCCTCTGGGGGGTAACGCTCGTTACCCGGGCCTCTCCCCCCCCCCCCCCCCGTAACGGTAACGCTCGTACGCGGGGGGGGTCTCGGTCTTCCCCTCCAACATGCTGGTGCCCGAAGGCATGCGCACTGTGGTGTGGTGGTCGCAGGCGCACTGTGGGCGCTCGCAGGCCATTGCGGCGCTCGCATGCGCGATGCTGGTGCTTGCGGGCTTTGCGCTTGTACTCGAATCGTCGTCGTCGTCGTCGTCGTCGTCGTCGTCGTCGTCGTCGTCGTCGTCGTCGTCGACGGCGCCCGAAAACGGCCTCCGGAGGCCGAAACAGGCGGCAAACGTCGTCGTCGTCGTCGTCGACCTCGTCGCTCGTCGCTCGTCGATCATCGTCGTCGCGCGCGCGGGCGCGGGCGTGGTGCCGGGACCACGCGGCGGGCTTTGCGCTTGTACTCGAATCGCAAGCCACTGTGGTGCTCTCAGGCAGAGAGTGCTGCTCGCGCGCATACTATGGCGATCGCAGAGCGCCCCTGCTTCGCCATACCCCGCCCAGCCCAAGCGTTACCGTTACCCGGGGGGCACGACCCCCCCCCCCCCCCCGGGTAACGAGCGTTACCGGCCGGAATAAAAAAATGATCTCCCTCCTCCTCCTCTTTCTCCTCCTCCTCCTCCTCCTCCTTCTCCTCTTCCTCTTCCTCTCCTTCCTCCTCCTTGTCCTCCTCCTCCTCCGCCTCCTCCCTCCTCCTCCTCCTCCTCCTCCTCCTCCTCCCCTCCTCATCCTCCTCCTCCTCCTCCTCCTCCTCCTCCTCCCCTCCTCCCCCCGCCGCGCCCCCCCGAGGCGGAGCTCTTGCGCACCCGGGCCGTGCTGGATCCGCGCCAGCGCCAGCTGCTTGGCCCGGGGCTTTTCCCAGCCTCCGCGCGCGGGGCGCCCGCTGCGACGCGACCCGGCCCCGCAGGAGAGGAACGAGGTCATCATAGTGTTAATCGGGGGTGGACAGACCGTCGTTTTCCCCCCCTTGCTGCCTCCCCCGTCGTTTTCCCCCCCCCCTGGTGGAGCCTCGCTTCGTCGTCTGTTCGCCGTTCCTCGTCGTTCCCCTCGCGCAGTCGGCGTGCTACCGAAAGCAGGCGAGGAACTAGAGGGCTTTTGTGGCCACGGCAAGCCCTAGGCTTCGGGGCTGGACAGACAGACCTCCTACCCTGACACGTCGATTGAGGAATTGGCCGGTTTCGGTTCGCGGGAGGGCGTCGCGTCCGTCATTTTTGCGGGTCCAGGTCCGTCCGTTTCGGTCCCAGGCCGTTTTCGCTAATGGGAGATCTATTAAAGGGAGGTTTGTCCACCGCCGAGTTAAACCACGGGAGTTTCCGCACGTCTTGGATTGAGCGTGCATCGGCGAAGAGCGCCCAACCGGGCTCAATAGCGCCCAATGGCGCCCGGGGGCGCCGAATGGCATCCACATAGCGCACGGTGGCGGCCCATCGCGCCCAGGAGCACCACGTGCGGGAGATGCGCGAAGGACCTCACGTCATCATGTCCGTTTTGCGCATCGTGGGGCGCGCTACTGGGCGCCATGAGGGCGAACAAGAGCGTCCGTGAGTTGCTCTCCAAGGCTTCTGATGCTCCAACCTACTTTAGCCTTGATCACCAGAAAGAATGTCGGGCCCTGGGAGACACTGTTTCGACACTCTTTCGACACTCTTTCGACACTCTGCCGGCTGCTCGAAAGTATTTCTGGGATGTGGTCCGTAAGTGCGATGGGAACCACATAATCCAAGGCTCCAGGGGAGAGGAGCGAGGTCGGGGCCCCATGTGGACCGGGGCGTTGCTGACCAGGACCTTGAGCGTGCCGCCCGAGGAAGAGCGGTTCCGCCTCTGGGGGGGGGCCTCTCTGGGGGCCTCTTCCCTCCGAGGCGTGCGCGCTTGCGCTCGCGCGCGGGGGGCAGCGGGAGGAATTGGGAGGAGTGGATCAAAGTAGAAAAGGAGCCGTGGAAGTCGGAGGAGCCGGAGAAGGGGAGAAGGAGGAGGAGGAGGAGGAGGAGGAGGAGGAGGAGGAGGAGGAGGGAGGGGGGGAGAGAGGGAAGGGAGAGGAGGGCAATGAGAGGTGGAGCACGAGAAGTAAGAGCAGGAGGAGGATGGAAGAGGGAGCAGAGGATGAGGAGGAGGGACGATGAGTTCGGGAGATGTGGATGCAGATGAGGAAGGCAGTCGCGGGAGGAGGAGAAGGAAGAGGAAGAGGAGGCAGAGGAGGAGGAAGAGGAGGAGGAAGAGCAGGAGGAGGAGGAGAAGGAAGAGGAAAAGGATGAGGCGGAGGAAGAGGCGGTGGAGGAGCAGTAGCGGGGTGATAGGGGAGGAGGATGGAGGAAGAGGAGGAAGAGAGGAGGAGGAGGAGGCGGAGGAGGAGGAGAAGGAAGAGGAGGAGGAGGAGGAGGTGGAGGAGGTGGAGGAGAAGGAGTAGGAGGAGGAGGAGGAGGAGGAGGAGGAGGAGGAGGAGAAGGAGGAGGAGCAGGAGGAACAGCAGGAGGAGCAGGAGGAGCGGGAGGAGCAGGAGTATGCTTGGGATCAAGCGCAGCAACATTTGTGACCAGCCGAGCCAGCAAGGTACTGGCCCGAAGTGGACACTGCGGCCCATTGCCTTCGGTGAAGGTATGCCCAACCAGGTCGAGTGCACTCACACGGTCGAGTACACGGCCATGGCAGCGCCTCCGGCGCCGCCCCTTGCGCGCTCCGCGCGCCAGGGAGGGGGGTTCAGCGCAGATCCGGAAATCCCGGGCGGTGCTCCAACAGTTTTTGTTTATGCTGTTTTTGATCCTATAGTTTCGGCCATCGGGGACGTTCACCCCCCCGTTCGCTACAGAGCCTCTAGCCGAACGACTTGAGACGTTCACGGCATCGCCAAAGTTGCGCGGACCTCGGCTCGATAGGTCGAGCGAGTGCCGTGGGGCGGGGGTCGCTGCAAGGAGGAGGGGGCCGCGGACGCGACGGCGCCACTCGGCCTCGAGAATGCTTGTGGCCGTGTCCCCCGCACTTCGTACACCCGGGGCTGTCGCGCCCGAGGCCCCCGAGACTAGCGGCATTGGCGGCAGCCCAGTGGGCCTGGCGCGGTGGCTGGCAGGATGCGCACGTGAAGCAGGTGGTGTTGCCACGGGTTTGGAAGGCTGTTTGCAAGCCTTCTGCAGGCGAGTGCCCAGTCTCGCGGGCGGTTCGCTAGCTTCCGCCGCGACAGCGACCAGGACGACCCGTGCTTGGTCACCCTCTTCGCCGAGGCCTGCGTGCGTGCGAATGCCTTGCTTCTGCGACCACTTGCGAAACCGAAGAGTCCACTCGACGCTGGGGTATGGGACACCCCCGCTTGGATTCACCTGGCTGTCCTTCGAGTTCTGAATCCCAGTCGACGTTTCCGAAGTCTGACCTGCAGGGGTAGGGTTCACACGTGGTTGCCAATTGCTGGCAGTGGAGGCCCGCCTCGCTTTGGCAGGATACCGGATACCGCGCCCTGCGGGCCAGGCCGCGCTCCGCGTCCTGCGGCGAGGTTATAGACGACACCGTTGGTGGCCGCGGCACGCCCACCGCTCGCGCGGCGGCGGTGCCGAGGACGCGCGGCGGCTGTGCTGCGGCTACCGAACTACCCTCTGACCGCTCCCGCTAGCCTGACTCCGCCGCGTTGCTGCGCGCGTGGCCGCGACGCCACCAAGTGTGTATGTGCGCGCGCGCGTGTGTGCGCGTGTGTGTGCGTGTGTGTCTGTGTGTGTGTGTGTGTGTGTCTGTGTCTGTGTCTGTGTCTGTGTCTGTGCTGTGTCTGTGTCTGTGTCTGTGTCTGTGTCTGTGTCTGTGTCTGTGTCTGTGTCTGTGTCTGTGTCTGTGTCTGTGTCTGTGTCTGTGTCTGTGTCTGTGTCTGTGTCTGTGTCTGTGTCTGTGTCTGTGTCTGTGTCTGTGTCTGTGTCTGTGTCTGTGTCTGTGTCTGTGTCTGTGTCTGTGTCTGTGTCTGTGTCTGTGTCTGTGTCTGTGTCTGTGTCTGTGTCTGTGTCTGTGCCTGTGCCTGTGCCTGTGCGAGCGTGCGTGCGTGCGTGCGTGCGTGCGTGTGTGTGTGTGTGTGTGTGTGTGTGTGTGTGTGCGTGTCTGTCTGTGTCTGTGTCTGTCTGTGTGTGTGTGTGTCTGTGTGTGTGCGCGTGTGTGTGTGTGTGTGTGTGTGTCTGTGTGTGTGTGTGTCTGTGTGTGTGTCTGTATTTGTGTGTCTGTATTTGTGTGGGTTTGTGTGTCTGTGTGTCTGTGTGTGTGCGTGTGTGTCTGTGTTTGTGTGCCTGTGTGTCCGTGTGTCTGTGCCTGCGCCTGTACCTGTGCCTGTGCCTGTCCCCCTCCAGGGGGGTTTTCGACGAAAAATGATGAATACCGTACCCCAAACATCGTCCAAACATAATCCAAACATAGTCGGGGGCCTATTTCTTTGAGTATTGTTTGGCCTTTTTGGGGCATGTTTGGGGTATGTTTGATTTTTCGACGAAGGTCCCCCAGTTGAGGGTCACGCCCAACACAACCCTATGCCGAGGGCGCCCTCGGCAGCGGCGGCCCGGCTGCTGCGCGCGTGCTCCTCCGGGGGCGGCCCAGGGGCGGGGCGACGCCTGTCCGGCGCCCTAACAAACGGTGCGGGGACCTCCCGTTGGAAGTTGCTAGGACCTCCTACCCTGACGCGTCGATGAATCCAGGTTTCGTAATAAAAGGGAGGGGGTCTGGAGCCTCCCAGACAAGCCATTTCAGATCTCCCCCGTGGGAGAACCCTCCAAAACATCGTCCCCAGACCCCCCAGGCCCTCCAAGATAGCCTGGAAGAGACCCCCCCGAAATGAGACCCCCCTCCCTGTACTACGAAATCTGGATTAGGGAATCGGCCGTTTTCGGTTCGAGAGAGGGCGTCGCGGCCGTCATCTCTGCGTGTCCAGGTCCGGCGGTTTCGGTGCCAGGCCGTTTTCACTCAAGGGAGGTTTACTAAAGGGAGGGTTGTCCACCGCCGAACACCGCGGGGCGAGTCCGCGGGGAATCGGGGTCCCCGCACGGGTGTGGGACTCGGGTCGTTCTCCGAGGATGCCTCG